CAGACCAGTGGGGGGGGGAGGTATTTGTGAATTTCCTGCATTGTGCCGGGGGTTGGACTAGATGACCCTGGAGGACCCTTCCAACTCTGATTCTATGGACTCTTTGGACTACCGGGCAAACAGATAAACTTCGCCCCCCCCAAAAAAAAAAACCATATTGTCCTTACTAGTTTTGCTATCACACAGCACACCTGGGCTTCCAGTGTCAAAGTCGGGCTGCCAGCCTCCAGGTGGGACCTCGGAGATCTCCCAGAATTACAACTGATTCCCCGGGTCTCTGACAAACGACTCTTGAAAGCGCATAACCCCAAATATCTGGTTGGTCTCGAAGGTGCTTCTGGACTCGAATCCAGCTCTTCGGCGGGAGACCCAACATGGCTACCCTGTGAAACCGATCTCTGGAGATCAGTCCCCCTGGAGAAGATGGCTGCTTTGGAGGGTGGACTCTCCCCTCCCCAAGCCCCGCCCTCCAAGGCTCCGCCCCTAAAATCTGCAGGAATTCTCCATCCCCAAGTTGCAACCCTCGGTAAAAGAGGGGCAGCACACATTCTGTGACCAAACATAAAGTATTTATGCTTCTCGGATGGTTCCAAAGAGCAGGAACCTCCGGGGACTTCCCAATACCAGTGACAGGACAGCAAAGTCTTCTGGCAGAGATTATATCTAACTGTTGCTGCCGCCGCCACGCCCAAGGTGAATTGCTCACTTGCAGGAATCCTGGCCCTCCTCCAGGGAAAACCTGCCAGCGCGAGGGGGCAGGACTCGCCCATCCCAGCAAAACACAGGTCCCTGCAAGTCTGCCTTCTGTTCTGTGACGGAAAGTACTTGCATGTCTGAAAACATGCCGTTGATGCAATTTTGTCCAGGAGCACTTCCCAGGTCGACGGTGCCCACACGCAAAGGCCATTCAAAGATTTCTTTTTTAAGGCACGACTGACCCACAGGGGAGAACAAAATTTGGAGTCCAGGGGCGCCTTTGAGACCCACAAAGGTTCATTCAAGGTATGAGCTTTCGTGTGCAGGCACACTTTTTGAAATACTTTGGAATGGAAGGTAAGGTTCAATCTTATAGACAGGGTCTGAACTCTTACCTTCCATTCCAATATGTTTGAAACAGTGTGCACGCACACAAAAGCTCATACCTTGATTAAACCATTGTTGGCCTTAAAGTTGCCACCAGACTGTAAATTTCTTCTACTGCTTCAGAACAGCTTTCTACTGAATCAGACCACTGGTCTATCAAAAGGTCAGGATTGCCTACTCAGACTGGCAGCCGTTCTCCAGGGTCTCAGGCGGAGGTCTTTCACATCCCCTACTGCCTGGTCCTTTTAAAACTGGAGATGCCGAGGACTGAACCTTGGACCTTCTGCATGCCAAGCAGAGGCTCTTCCACTGACCCACAGCCCCTCTTTACAGCTCTCCAGGGTCTCAGGTGGAGGTCTTTCCCTTCACCTCCTGCCTGGTCCTTTTTAACTGGAGATGCCGGGGATTGAACCTGGGACCTTCTGCATGCCAAGCAGAGGCTCTGCCACTGAGCCACGGACCCTCTTTACAGCTCTCCAGGGTCTCAGGTGGAGGTCTTTCCCATCACCTACCACCTGGTCCTTCTTAACTGGAGATGTCAGGGATTGAACCTGGGACCTTCTGCATGCTGAGAAGAGGCTCTTCCAGTGAGCCACACAGCCCCCCTCTCTCATACAAGAATGCATGAAGCCGCCTTACACTGAATGAGACCCCTGCCCTATCAAGGTCAGTCTCATCTATGCAGACTGGCAGCAGTTTCTGCGTAGTGCTGCCAACCTGGGAACGAGAGCCGGAAGGCAGCCAGCTCATGGCAAGGTCTAGAAGCCACTCCCCGAAACCTAAAATCTCATGCACTCAATCAGCAGAGCTCAGCAAGCAAGAAGAAGAAAAGAGAAGAGATTGGATTTCTTCCCCGCCCTCCATTACCCGAAGGAGCCTCAGAGCGGCTTACAACCTCCTTCCCCTTTCCCTCCTCACAACAGACACCCTGTGAGGTCGGTGGGGCTGAGAGAGCTCTCTTGAGTCACAAGTTCTCTCAGAGCTGTTCTCTCAACCGAGCAGTCCTTGAGAGCCCCACCTACCTCACATGAAGTCTGTTGTGGGGACAGGAATTCTAAGTTGCTCTGAGACTCCTTCGGGTAGAGAAGGGCAGGGTATAAATCCAGTCTCTCTTCTTCTTCTACAAAACGTCAGTGTTTCTGATAGTTAATTGAAGCATTCAGCTCTGGGTCAAGGTATATTATCTTTTCCTCTCCTTTCAGCACTTCTCCACAGCCTCGTTTGAGGCCTTCGTTCCAGACGTTCCCACTGTCTAGGTTATTCAATTGTTGAAATTATTTGTACTCCCTTTTCCCGAGGGAATTCGCTCAAGTGAAAATGTAGGTGCCATTCGGTCGGTGCGGCTTCTTTTCAGTTCCCTAAGGAAACGTCGAAGCTTCCAGTCTCTTGCAGTTCCGCCAGCTCGGATGCAACTGCAAACTACGGCTTACCGGAAAACAGGGAAGCCATTCGCTCACCGTGTGCAAAGGAAGGGAGGAAGGAAAGGGAGGAGGACCGATGCACAGACCTCTGGACGTGTGAAACGAGAGTAACAGGAAGTACCAGAGAGCTTCTGAACAACTCAAGACTCATAAATTGGACAAGAATTGTCTGATAAATAATTCAGGCAGCTGTCTGTCTGCATTAATTAGTGCATTTTAGGCTAACCATTGACCGCGCAGATGCTAATGTACCGTCACGCAGTCTCGGGTGTGAAATTATTTTTTCCCCATGGGTTGGGTTTCTAAGAGCCAAACCAGGCCTCACAAGGGAGACACAGAGGCCCCAACTGTGTGTTTCTCTTGGAAAGCAGGGAACAAACAGCGGAGGAGGGTGTCTGACAATCCCTCTGTCCAAATTGGCACTCTCAGTTTAACTCCTCTTCCCCGGTCTGGCTCTGGAGACAGAAGAGATCCGAGCAGAGGGCTTTTTCTCATTCTCTTCACTTACAAGCTCCTGTTTCTTTGGGGGGTGGGGGTGTGTTCCACACAGGGCTTTTTTTGTAGAAAAAGCCCAGCAGGAACTCATTAGCATATTAGGCCACACCCCTGACAGTGTGGCTCATTAGCATATTAGGCCACACCCCATGTTACCAGAAGTGTGGTCATCCAACCACACCCACCTTTTGCTTCTTATTCTCTTCACCTTGTTTGTTGTCAAAACCCAGGGACTTTTGCATGTTAGGCCACACACCCCTAATTGTAGCCAATCCTAATGAGTTGCTGCTGTTGGGTGTGGCCTGTTATGCTAATGAGTTCCTGCTGGGTGTGGCCAACTTGGGAGCCAGCTGGAACTCCGTTCCTGTGCGTTCCTGCCCAAAAATAGCCCTGGTTCCACATGTGTTTTGTTCCCTCTAGTGGTCAATTCGATATTACACCAGTTCATGCCCGGCATAAAAACCCACAGCTTAAAATGGCAAGGAGATACGCTGGACATAACCCACTGTAATATCGAATCGACCACTAGAGGGAGCAAAAGACATGCAGCGCTGAACCCCTTCCCTAAAGACACAGGAACTTGCAAGGGAAAAGAGAATGCAGAATAGCCCTGAGAGGAAAAGGGAGAAGGCATTTGCAGCTGCTGCAGGAGGCAAGAAACACCCCATCGCCCCCTCTGACCCCACCCTCCCTGTAATCTTTGCAAATGTGCATGCATTTATTTAGTGCCAGACTTTTCTCTCCCATCGCAAAAGCTCTCCTACCCCACGTCAAAAACCAAAGCCACAATACGGCAGTCGTTGTGATGAGAGACACTCTCAAAAGCGGGATTTCTTCTCTGCTGTGTTTTGGGGGGTGAGGTGAGCCGGAGAGTCCCTATCAAATGCAGACAAATTAGCACCAGACCAAGGGAGTCGGCTACAATTTTGTCCGGGCTCCATCCCAAAGCTCATTAAATATGGCAAACTCAGCTTGTCAAGCGAGAACCATCTTTGCTGCCCGAAGTCATGCCCTAAACGTCGCCTGGCGTGCGTACACCAACAGAGGCAAAGAGGCACAGCTGCGAAACTTCCAAACGCATGCTGGAGCTCTCCCTCCCAGATAGAAAGGGTGCAGCTTGGAACAGGGGGCGATTCTGCATCTGGCATTCGCTCCACATTTTCTCAACTGGGAGGGAAAAGTGCCACTCAAAACCACATTCAAATACTCCAGGGGGCAACGCCGTACCGACTGCAAAGTCACCCCTGAGCGGCCATACATTTATGCAGAAGGTACTGTGAAACCCGATGATCAAAGAAAGTGAAAGCGGCGGCCAGTGTAGGGGGTACCATAAAGTCTGATGATCAAAGAAAGGGACAGCAGCGTGCTATGCAGAGGGGGAATTTCTGTTCCAACCAGTGTTCCCTCTAGTGCGGAATCGCCCAGTGTGTAACAGCCCAGGATCTAAAAGACTCGGGCAACTAAGGTAGCTGTTTGATAATGGACTAATGATAGAAGCCATTTGTGGATCAGGGCAATGGCAAGTGATTCTGCAACAACTACTACATAACTCGCTCACAACTTTAATGTCAGTAGCTCACAAAGCAGAATTTTTGCTCACAAGAGGGAACATTGCTCCAGAGCAAACTAAGTTATGCAGTAACCAAATCGCTTGCTCAGAACTCTAATACCAGTAGCTCACAAAGTATAATTTTTGCTCACAAGACTCCACAGCTTAGAGGGAACATTGGTTCCAACATGGGGTTCGTAAAACGACGGAGGGAAAAGCCAGTGCGGAATCGCCCAGTGTGTAAGAGCCCAGGATCTAAAAGACCCGGGCAACTAAGGTAGCTGTTTGAAAAGGCAAAATGTGTTCCTGTTGGCTCGTTCCTAGAACAGGCAGCCAAATTCTGACCGAGTTGCGGTTTCTGGGTTGTCCTTGGGAAATGACAGCAGACAACACAGCAGGAAAGTCTTCATCACAACAAACCTTTGGTCTTGAGAGCTGTTTCGATGGCCACGGCATCTCTCTCGGCATCGAAGTTTGGGGACGCCTTGATAGTGGCATAGGCGCTGGGGGG